ACGGAAAGCTCAGAAGTTAAAGTATAGTATACATACAGGACCAGGAAAGCAAGGATAGTGACAGGCTGTGGGGCTGGAGAAGCAGACACCAAAGCATGGTACACTGGAGGCTCGTGACAACCACCCTCCCTGCCTGCCTTAGGGCAGGAAAGGCCTCTTGATAGAGTGCCGTAAGATGACACTTAGTGCGTACACACCCACGCTAGACATCCCACACATAGACCACAAATATGCAAGTGGATATACACACAAGCACATACACAGACCACACACACTAGCCATGGGGAGTGAATGTTTCTGGCCCTAACCTCTGTGGCATTTGGCCTTTTAGAAAAGGTTCAGCAACTCTGTGAAGTGTGGTCTTGGGAAAGAAGGTTGTTGAAGGAGCTGACGCCAACCAAGTCACCCTGTTCTGTTTTGTAGGACTTTGTGTTCTATGCCCCCCGCCTGAGAATCAACAAGCGGATCCTGCAGCTTTGCATGGGGAACCATGAGCTGTACATGCGCCGCAGGAAGCCTGACACCATCGAGGTGCAGCAGATGAAGGCCCAAGCCCGGGAAGAGAAGCACCAGAAGCAACTAGAGCGGTGAGTGGCCAAGGAGCCTGATGGAGTGTCACCTATCCATCAGTGACCTGGAGCAGCCAAAGAACCTGATAGAATATCACCACATCTGTAGGCATCTGGGACCCCAGAGGCCTCGGCAGCTGGGATTGGGCAGGGACTGTCCCCAGAACAGCTCCCACCCGATCTGTCACAAACCATTCAGGCACAGGCTCCCAAAAGGACAGAGATGTAGCAGGCTGGCAGCTGTGTCTGCGGGTCCAGGTCTGCCTGCGTCACCCCTTCATGTCCCTTCCCCTTCCCTCTACCAGGCAACAGTTGGAAACAGAGAAGAAGAGGAGAGAGACCGTGGAGAGAGAGAAGGAACAGATGCTTCGGGAGAAGGAGGAGCTGATGCTCCGGCTGCAGGACTATGAGCAGAAGACCAAGAGGGCTGAGAAAGGTCAGGAGCTCAGGCTGCCCGCCCCTTCCCACCCTACCCCCTAAAATAGATGACAATGCCATGCCTGCCTGTCACATTTAATTTTCCACCTCTTCCCTGAGGCTGTTAAGAGTCAGCCTGCAGTCAAACTCCAGAGAGGGGCAGAGGTGTGGACACACTGCTTCCACGCCTCCTAGACTCAACTCCACATCCCCTCAGCACATACTCAGCTGTCACAGCCAGCTTGTGACACCTTCACCATACATTCCCGGGTCAGAAGAGCAGCCCTTTCCGTCTGAGACACTTAGAATAGAGGGGAGATGCTGTTTACTGGAGCCTGAAAGACACCAAGCAGGCCATTTCTGTGTCCGAGTCTGTTCAGGTGATAAGTGACTGGTAGGGTATGTGTGCTGTGGAGTATGGTGCCATTATGGTGCTGCAGGGTTAGGCCCAGCCCAGGAGCAGGGTTCTCTGACCAGCTAGCTGCTCCTCAGTGGCCTCCACACACTAAGTCACCTTAGAAACAGCAGGAATGGGCCTTCAGGTGGCCCTGCTCACAAGCCTGTGACTCCATCTACGGCTTTGTGATTCTGGGATTGGCGTTCAACCCGTTCTCCTTCAGCCCACTTGGGGTGGGAGAGGAAGTCTGAGCAGCTCTGACTCCATGTTCTCTGCAGAGCTCTCCGAGCAGATCGAGAAGGCCCTCCAGCTGGAGGAAGAGAGGAAGCGAGCCCAGAAGGAGGCCGAGCGCCTGGAGGCTGACCGTGTGGCTGCCCTGCGAGCCAAGGAGGAACTGGAGAGACAGGCACAGGATCAGATAAAGAGCCAGGAGCAGCTGGTAGGATTGCTTGGTTTCAAGATGCTGAATTATGGAGAGGCTGTTCCTGGGGACTCAAACAAGCGACACCTGCCTTGCAAAGTTTTCAGCTAGGGCTGTAAGCAGATCTGCTGCAGCAGCTGTAGGAAGGGGAGTGAGCTGGACTTGTCTGAACCCTCAGTCAGGGAGGTGGGTGTGGTACCCAGAGTTTCACAGAGACTCAGGAGGTGCAGGTAGTGTCCCCGACCATGAGGAAAGAAGGGGCATAGCCCATCACCAGGGAGGCCATTCATGCTCGTGGGTGAGTGTTTTTCACCAATGGACCCTGCCAGAAGGATTCTAGAGACCACTTTATCCTCCCTTCCAGGCGGCAGAGCTGGCAGAGTACACTGCCAAGATTGCACTGCTGGAGGAGGCTCGGAGGCGCAAGGAGGACGAGGTGGAGGAGTGGCAGCACCGGGTGAGTCTGACCCCAGAAACCTGCATCACCACGGGGTACATCTGGGCCGGGAGCATTGCAAAGGGCTCCAGCTCAGCTGCAGGTCACATCACAAGCTTCTGGAACCTCTCAGAATCCTTTGCAAATGCCTTCTCTATTAATGAGACAGAAATCCCCAAAGGAATGGCCTTGACCCTGTCGAAGAGGTAGACCAGCAAGCCAGCATTGGATTAGTAGAGGAACAAAGGCCTGTTTATTCCCTACCCTCACTTTGTTCCCACTTTCCATGCTCTTCAGCCATGATCAGGCACCCCTGGTCGGGAGCTAGTTTCAATTCTAATTGCTTGGGTACTCCTGCGACCGTCACAGCTTTGAAGCAGGATGTGATAGTTGGGAGTATACAGAGAATCTTGGAGATCTCCAGACCGACATGACAGCCCAGGCTTCCAGATGTGTCTGAGGAGCCTGCTTCCTCAGATTGGGGTGGCATCACTGTGGTGTTTTTCTGACTTGTGTCAGGGTCAATCAGCTATAGCTGTGTCCCCATGTCCAGGACATTAAAGGGTCTGGATGTGGTGCTTACCATGGACTCAACACAGGGCTTTTGGCAGGGTCCTTTCCACATGTCCTGCTTCTAGTCCCTTTCTGGGGCTGCCTTGGGTCTGTATCTCCATGCAGATCTTACATGTTCTCAAACCCATTGCAAGCAGGCGAAGAAAGCCATTTATATAAGACATATGAGGGAGGGTGTGAAGGTGGATGAGAACACAGGGAATGAGATGTATGCATGCACACTCCCAAGTGGTGGTACTTCTGTAGTTGGAGAACATAGCCAGTGAGTGTACTTTATAAAGTGGGTAGGGTCTGGACATGTGTGGTGCCACTGTTGATGAGAGCCAAAGGCAGGCAGAACCCTAGGCTCCTTGCTGGCAGACCATGCCACTTCCTACAAGATGGGCTGTGGGAAAGAGTTCTCATTTGACCAGTGGTCTCTTCTCCAAAGGCCAAAGAAGCCCAGGACGACCTGGTGAAAACCAAGGAGGAGTTACACCTGGTGATGACGGCTCCGCCACCTCCGCCACCCCCGGTGTATGAGCCTGTGAATTACCACGTACAGGAGGGGCTGCATGATGAGGGTGCAGAGCCCATGGGCTACAGTGCTGAGCTCTCCAGTGAGGGCATTATGGATGACCGCAATGAGGAGAAGCGGATCACTGAGGCCGAGAAGAATGAGCGTGTGCAGCGGCAGCTGCTGGTGAGTGGGTGAGGGGCTCAGGCCCCATCTCTGCAAACACATACACAGAACTCCAGCCCTGGTACTCCTCCTACCCTTCCATAGTCTCATCTCCTGGCCAGCCACTCCATGAGGTCACTGTGGTGTCACCGTGACTTCACAGGGGAACAGGTAGGTAACAGATACTCACTTCATGTTGCAGACTCTGAGCAACGAGTTGTCCCAGGCCCGGGATGAGAATAAGAGGACCCACAATGACATCATCCACAATGAGAACATGCGGCAAGGTCGGGACAAGTACAAGACACTGCGGCAGATCAGGCAGGGCAACACCAAGCAGCGGATCGACGAATTCGAGGCCATGTAAAGGCCAGGCCACACTGCGACCAAAGGGCGGAGGGCACCTCCCAGCAGGGTGCCTCCCAGCAGAGTGTGTCACACTTGGCTCTTTAGTACTCTTAAGTCTAGAAACCCCCTTGACAGGTTCCAGTCCCTTAAAGAGCAGTTACGGGCCAGAACTGTTCTGCACCAGGCCCCAGTGGAAGCCCCCCTGGTTACTTCCAGTTGTATCATAGTGCCAAACAGGCCAGATTTTTTTTTTGACAGTTACAGAATCACTTCCTGTCTGAATCAGGATTGCAGTGGATTCAGATGCCTCTGAAGTCTAAAACTTTAGGCTGGCCCATGTGACACAAAGTTCATCAATGTTCATTATCACTAGGGACCACACTGTGGCTGCTTACACATGGGTGCCATACTCTCTCTAGTTTTGAAATGAGCTCAAATCGATTTTGTTCTTGATTTCTATGAAGGATCCATCTTCGTGTTTTGAGGGGTGAAAATGATTTTGAAATTTAAAGCACGCTCCCGCACAGTTTCCTTCCTCCACACCGCTGGCAGAGTCTACGGTGGTCCTTCAGAGTGCATGGTACACTCTGATATAAAACTTTGTTTTCATGCTTACTGGTAGCATACGTTGTTGGACTTATTATACCTAATGATCTGCTATAGAGAATAGTATTTATATAAGTGATAATATGGGTTTGTAACATTAGTTTTAAAAAGGGAAAGTTTTGTTCTGTATATTTTGTTACCTTTTACAGAATAAAAGAATATTAAGAACCATGTAATGGAGACACTTAATCCGACATGGGAGCAGTTGGGAACTGACTACTGTGGTGATTGTGTCTGTATATATGTTAGTGGGTTTTGTGCATGTAAATGCACACTTGAGTTTCCTGTCAGTTTCTGACAGTGTAGGAACAGTGAGCCTTGTTCCTACCTGTTGTCAGTTTTTGTCTTCCTTTTGTGCACTGCGCTATCCCCTTCAGTTGTGATGTCGCCACACTGCATGAATACACAATAAAAGGCTCTGCGAGGCCTTGTGTCTGCTTGCCTGAGGGACATGCCCAGGAAGCCAGAAGGATGGGAGGCTCCCACCGGAGACAAGGGGAACAACACTCACCATACTTTTTCTCTGAAACACACACAAAGCTTAGCACTTTTGTTGTCAATAAATGCTGGGAGCCGTGGGCCGCTGTTGAGCATTTATTGGAATCAAGCCATTCCACTCCAGACAGTGACCTCCCCCGACTACCTAGGTAGCGGTAATTGTTCGGTAGTTGGTTACTTGTGAACTGGTGGCTCTGCGCCTGTGAGGATCTCACATATCCTGTTACCTCTGCAGGTAGGCGGTCGCCTCAAGCTTCACCTCAGTGCAGGACAAGGGTCATGTCTGTCCATAGGTTGGGACTGGACAAGACTTTCTGCCACTGAAGCTTGGACTGTGAACATGAGTCCGTACAACCTGCAGTGCCTCCCTCTGCAATGAGATGGTGGTGGTGGTGTGTGAGAACTCGCCACTTTGCCCTCCCCAGCCTGTTCTCTCCCTCAGCCTGAGACTAAGAAGCACCCCACCCCTGCACAGGAGACATTAGGACAGTATGTGCTGAGGTGTCCCTCAGAATGATGCCCCAAAGCCTAGGATTCCATGTTCAAAAGCAACAGTTCTCAACCTGTGGGTTGTGACCCTTTGGGGTCATCTGAGACCATCAGAAAACACAAATACTTAACGGTTCATAACAGTGGCAAAATTACAGTTCTGAAGTAATGATGAGAATAGTTTTATGGTGGGGGGGGTCACCACAACATGAGGAACTATTAAAGGGTCGCAGCATTAGGGAGGGTGAGAACTGCTGCTCTAAAGGAGGGGGTGGACTCCAGGCATCCAGTTCTTACCGGTGGGAGTGATGGAACTTAACTCTGAGACCAAAGGTGGTCTGGGGGCCCTGGTTTTTCATGGGAAGGATTTCTCAGAGGAAGAGTTTGCTTTGAAACATTTGCATTCTCAGGAATGCAACTCCAAGTCTTGCTTGGTAACTCTTAGCTGGCGGTCTCATGGAGAGATGCTGTCAGGGCCTTGCTGAGGACTAGATGGAGTACAGAACCTGCCCCAACCCAGTAGGAGGCTGTCCATACAATGCCAGCAGCCTCCGGGTGAGCTACACTGAATGGTGCCCTTGTCTGTCCCCTCAGTGACGTCCTTCCAGATGTATGTTTGTCTGGGTTAAGATATTTTCCTTAAGAAAATAATCCTCTTATGACTGACACCAGAACAGAAGTAAATACTGCCCCTTGCCTGTTGTGAACCCTGAAGCTTTTGTTTCTTTAGCTGATTCAAATCTGATTTAAATTGCTGAGATATTTGGCTGTATTATCGTCTCTGTTGTAGTTAAACCTAGACTTGGGAATCCCCATCATGACCGGACAGGGCAATTTCAAAGTCAGCTGAATGGTCTCCATGGTATCCACATAGGGCAATCACTAAGGACATAAACCTGTGGTTTTTCACTGGTAAACTCTGGGAGGCGTAGAGCCACAAACAGTGAACAGACTTACTTGAGCCAAGCCTGGCTCCCCCAAGCAGGCGGTCGTTCATACCAAAGATGGCCTGATCCCATACGGTCAGCTCCAAGCTGGACTGCCTCAGCTGAGAACTGCTTACACCATTGAACACGAAGGAGTGTTTCCATTGGGGGCAAGCCTGCTTCTTCAGTACTGGTGACTTCACACGCAGTTTTTGCTGGTCTGGCAGAGTGAGACAGCTGAAGAAGGAAACAGGAACCTTGAGGCCACAGCCCAGCATGCAGCCCCCTTCCCCATAGGTACCCATCCATCTGTCAGCTGAACCCATTTTATGTTGAACTGGATTAGTCTCCCATGTTCCTGTTTCCTTTCAGAGCTAGCGCCCACATCCAGTATTCAGGGTCAGTTGCAATTCTGTGTCCTGTGTCTGTATATACATGGCTTCATTTTTTGCTCCCATTCTCAGAAAAATACATTCAAAAGAGCTAACTTGCCCTAGAGCATACTACACAGCAGTGGTGAGGGGGTTCTGTCCTGACAAGCCACCATTTTTTCCATGCTTCAGTGACTGGTTTGCGCCTTTTTCATTATTAGTGTTTTCTCTTGAGGACACTAGCAATCCTGTAATGACTAAGAATGGCACTGAGTGACCATATGATGCTTAATGCAAGAGGAGGCGGTGAGCTGGGGAAATGCTAACTGGACTTTTTCAGACTCAGTTTCAAAACTGATTACTGGTATATCAAGACCTGATGAGATCTGGATTTCTGTTTAAAATATACTATTCCCAGCCCAAGCCTTGCATAACCAAACCTCATTTTTTGGAATTCTTGGTCCTTAAAAATGTGCTATATTGATTTTCTTTTTACTCTACTTTGTGATTTATTTTGTATGTGCATGCATGTAAGAACAAGTGTACACGCCACACATGTGCTGGACACAGGACAACTTGCGGAGTTGGTTCTCCCTCCACTGTGTGATTGATTGGCTTCAGGGGACTGGACCCAGGCCTGGCAAGTGCCATCTCACCAGCCCTATTTTAGATTTTCATAGGAAAGCTAAAATAAGATGAATTCAAATGGTCTGCACTTTTTGGTGTTTCCTACAGATTTTGGACCATGCTCAACATATACTCACCGACACATCTCAATACCTACCCCTTAACAAATGAGTTTAAGGTGCCGTCTGAACGCACAGGTAAATTCTTGGCTCCCAGCACGACCAAACAAAGTTGACCGTTAATTGATAACTGACCTCCTGTCCCTGGAAGGAAAGTCAGAACTTGGGTTAAGGTTTGGCTATCCTGGAACAAACTCTGTAGACCAGGTTGGCCTCAAACTCACTGAGATCCGCCTGCCTCTGCCTCCCAAATGCTGGGATTAAAGGTGTGCGCCACCACTCAGCTGGGTTAAGCATATTTTTCTTGATGTGTTAGTGTGCAGTATCAACACCCAGAAAGTGGTAGCTCCCTGAGAGGGCCCACAGCCTCCAGGCCTTAAAGAGAGCAGGAGGAGGCACAGTTCTGCAGCTTCAGCAGCTTTGCCCACACTGCCTCTATAGCCAGCATGCAGACAGAATGAAGCACTAGTAAAATTCCTGGAAGGTGGCAGTTACACAGAGGACGGGGGAACCACAGGGAGAAAAGCTGTGGACTCTGATTGTAGCTCGTGGTCTGAGAAGGGAGCCATACGCTTCTGTTCTAGGGAGGTTCTGGTGACCTCTGGCAGGTATCTGCTGCTGGCCCTGGGAGCTCCTATTCCTGCCAAGGCCACTGAACGACCCTTTGCCATTGTGAGTTCTCCCAGTGTCCTCTTCTACCCTCAGTGCTCACATACCTTATCTAAGGTAAATACCTTAAGGTTCTGCCCTTGACCCACTACACACTGATCTCTCTCAGCCTCCAGCTCCCAGTGCCCTACAAGTGTTCTTGGTTCCTCAGCTCTGAACGCATGCCGTTACAGTGTTCCTCTTTTCAACGGGGCCACCAGAGACTGGCCTTTGGGAAGGATAAAGGGTGCACTGGGGGCCTTGCCTTTTCTGGTCCTGGTGTCTCCGTAAGTTGAAAGTTCCAGGGACTGGAATGTGTGGGATCAGTGGGCAATGGGAAATCCTTTGCCTACCTCCAACTGCTTGCCCTCTGGGCTTTGGGGACAGTGATACAAATTCTCATGGGGCCAGACGTCACTAACCTTCTTGGGCCTCCTGGAACTTTCTTGGCCCTGCAGGGAGGACCAGTTTGGCTCGTACAGCAAGCTCTCCATTATTCTGAGGAATATTGTCTTCATATTTCTCAGCCTGAGGGTGAGAGACAGAGCTCAGAAGTAGGATCTTCCCCCTGCACCTCAAAACCACCTGTGCTGTGCAGGCAGTCCCAACCCAGTCCATAAATGCCACACCCCACCCTCACAGACCACCTGGTGAACTAGTCATCCCTGAGTCATCCCTGCCACCCTCGGTCCCTCCACATGGGAGGAACAATTCACTACCTTATTGGAAATAGCATGGCCCCAGGGAAGCCTAAACCAGCACAGGGCTCCGAAAAGCCAAGATCCAGCCCCATCCATGGCTTACTCTGGGTCAGGAGTGACTGGAGCTACCCTTCTGTGCCAATGCCTCCCCTTCAGGCACTGAGGGCAGTAAAGGTTGCAGATTGTGCCAAAGCTGTACACCATAGCTTTGTTGGCTGTGGGTGTCAAGCCTCTGTAAGACACCATATTCAGAGGTGGCTTCTCTGGTCATGAGTGATTTTGTCAGTGAATGAAAAGCCAGAGAGCAGATGACCCTGAATCGGACAGACCTTCCATCCAGGGTAGAAAAGTGTACTGGGAGGGAAGGTCATGGCTGCCGCCACCTGAAGTGACAAGCTGCCCTTCGGGTATCCGGGACTCCCGGAAGCCTACTTGGGCCAGCCACCGTCTGCACTGAAGCATTTGACAGGCCCTTCAGTGCCAACTGGGACAGGGACACTCAAGGTCTAGAAAGCAAGTCCCAGCCCCAGAGTAGCCTGGTGCCAGAGCCCCATAACAGCCTGTGGATATTCATTCCCCATTCAGTGACAGGGTGCTACTCTCTTAGCTGGCATCCGGCGGGGTGACTTTGCTACTAGCCCATTCACCAAAGGAGGCTGGGTGGGACACCCGCGGTTGCCAGCCAAAGATGTCCCAGCCATCGTCATGCTGCCAGTGTGTATTGTGTGTGTGGTGTGTGTATTGTGTGTGTGGTGTGTGTATTGTGTGGTGTGTGTGTGTGTGTGTGTGTGTGTGTGTGTGTGTTATCCTTTGAAAAATGAGCCCATGGTGACTTGCTCTCTCAGCCCCTGTATAGTTTGAATGAAAAATGTCACTCCATAGGCTCATGAATTTCAACACTTGGCTCCCAGCTGGTGGTGCTGTTTCGGGAGGTGGCAGAGCTTTGGGGACGTGGAGCCTCGCTTGAGGAAGTATGTTACTGGGGGTGGGTTTTCAGAGTTTAGAACCTCACTCCACATCTCATTTGCCCTTTCTACTTCCTGCTTGCCCTCCAGATGTGACCTCCAAGAATCCTGCCCTGCCATTTGCTCCCATGCCTCCTAGCCATGATGGACTCTGTCCATCTGGAACCATAGCCAAAACATCCTCTGTATTTTCTTCCAGTCACAGTATCTTATCACAGCAACAGAAAAGTACCAAACACAGCCCCCCAAAGACACACCTTGGCCCGAAGTGGGTACCACTTGGCATTCTGTGTCGAACTGTCCTCAAAGTCCCATGCGGCCAGAGGAAGGATCACTTCTCCGAGGAACACCCTCCGGGCAAGGGTGCCTAGGTGCCACACAGAGACCTGCAGCCTCCGGGTCATCAGCTGGGCAAGCTCCACCTGATACTGCGGATGCAAGGACAAGACTGTCAGCCAGGTCTCCTAGAACTGCCCCCCCAGGCCTGCACAGGCTGTGCCCAAGACTCAGCTATAGCCAGAGTCCAGGTGAAGTCATGGTGGGCCACACGAGACCTCTTTGCCTGCTTGCCAAGCGCCTTGAGCTCTCCCAGTCCAGTTCTCAACCCCTCCCACCCCTATTCCCACCTGACACCCTTTTCTATTTCTCGGATGAAAAAGTCCTTGCCTAGCCCAGGACTCCAGGAAACCAAGAACTGTGTCAACATAAGATGTGCCCTTACGCGGGACCAACACTGCCCCAAATACTAAAACCAGATTGTGACTTTTTCCATAGCTGGAACTCAAAGATCTATTTGACACGAATCAAGTCCTAGGCCCCATCTCCAGTACCACAGAAAAATAAGTAAGCAAAACAAGCATACATAAGTGCAAAGTACAAGATCCCACAGCAGTATGTTCACCTTTGACAGGAAATGCATGTGAGTAGACTGTGGACACAGAGGTCAGGAGTGTGGGAGACACATGGAACACTCTGAGAGCCCAGATTTTAGTCTGTACACTGTACCTGTTCCATAACGAGTACAAAGTGCAAGGACCGTGCCCTCAGCGTGTGTGAGGCATCTTTGGCCTCCACAAGTACAAGAGAGGGCAATACTATGAGTCACTTGGAAGGTGGGTGTGCCCCCCTCAGTCTCCAAGCCATCAGCTGTGGGTGGCATTGCCACCCACATACCCAGCCCAGAGCTCGCTCTCACTGCTGACCTTTGCACCATGCTGCCTATGCTAGTGTTGTGGCATGGTGTAACCAGACACTCGCAGACACTGAGGAGACATGTACAGTCTGGTTGGATTTTGCATCTTCTCAGCACTTTTCTTTCCCTTTGAGGGACAAGATGGAAAGAAAACAGAGATTGAGACACTGACCTACTTACACTAGCAGACAGAGAGGGGTAGTAGTGATAGGTGCTGTCCCCACCCTTCCCTCTGGGATCTATGTGCCATGGGTCTAAGCACACTTGAGCCATGTTCCCCTTCCACAGCCCTTGGCTCTGGTTTTTTTTTGCTTTCCAAATCCCTGTCCCATTTCCTTTTTGTTGTTGTTTTCAAGATGGAGTCCCACTGCGTAACTCTGGCTGTCCTGGAACTCTCTGTGTAGCTCAGGCTGGCCTCTAACTCACAGAGATCACCTGTTTCTGCCTCCCCAGTGCTGTAATTAAAGGTATAGGCACTACACCCAGTGCCCTGTTTCATTTCTCCCTCTGTCAAACAACTAAATCATCCAGCTATCTCATCCTGCCCCGTCCCTCATGAGCAGTCAGTTAAGCCCTGACCATCGGGCTGTGCTTGCTGCCTCTGACAAATAAGGGTGTTCCAAGAAGAGCTAGCTACAGGGCCATGGTGCGGGAGGCACAGGGTTACCCAAGGGGCATTACCCCTGTACGTCTCCCTGAGACACTTAGGCCTGAGGACATTTCTTAGGTCCCCACTTGCTGCCCACTCCTATCTGATGAACAGGGCTATTCTCCTTTAATAACTGAATTTATGGCATCAAACAAGAACCATCTGAGGCTGCTGTAGACTATGGGGTCTGACACATAAGCAGCTTCAAAGCACATGAGCAGATAAGGACCCAGTCAGCTGTCTCCATTCCCATCAGATTCCCAGAGAGTCTCAAGGGAGTGGAAAACTCCTCGGAGCCCAGAGGGCCCCCAGGAAACACTGTACCCAGAAAACGTTGACAGTGGAATTTTAGAGCCTCAGCTGTGTGTACAGTGTGAATGTGTATGGTGTGTGTGTGTGTGTATGTGTATGGAATGGGTGTGTATGGTGCACACGTGTGTGTATGGTGTGTGTGTATGTGTGTGTGTGTGTGTGTGTGTGTGTGTGTGTGTGTGTGTGTACGGTGTATGTGCTACACATAGGGGATGTGTATGTGTTTGGTATGGTGTATACTATATACAGTATGTGTGTGATGTGTGCATGTAGGGCATATGTATGCAGAGTATGTGTTTACGTATAATGTGTGTGTGGAATACGCTGTATGAGTATGTAAGAGCTCTCTTTTGAGAGACAGGACCCCCTCCCACACACACAGCTGAGCCTAAAGCTGATTGGCTAAGCTGGCTGACCAATGAACTCCAGGGATCTTCCCATTTCTATTCCTGAGCACTAAGGTCACACTATCTTTTTACATGGGTATGGGTCCTCACACTTATGTGGCAGGTACCTTACCAGCTGAGCTACCTCTCTAGCACAAGCCTCAACTTTCACACACACTTCTGACAAGATGGGATGTCTTCAGGTGGAATGGCTGTCACATTCCACTCTGATGACATCAGCCCACATTCTTTTCTCAAAACCAACCAGAGGTGCTTCTCACAGCCATCTTCCCTTGGCCTTTACAGACCTCGTGGGTACCAAACCCAGAGGGAAGAGAAGTGCTAGTTCCTACTACAGATTTTCGAAAATAGACCTGGAACAATGCAGACCAGGCTAGTCTTGAACTCACAAAGATCTGCCTGCCTCTGTCTCCCTTGTGCTGGAATTAAAGGCATGCACCATCATGCCTGGCTGCAGGAGTTTCTTCAAGAGTAAGTTTGGCCTGTGTTAGAACACTATAAAATTAAGACATTATTCTTTCAAATAGATCTAAAAAAAATCCCTAGGACCCTAAAATATACCTAATGGATTATAACTGTGATTTCTTTGAGATCTTGCAGGTAATTTAAGTAAGGCAAGTAAGACTTTTTTAATTTAACTATATAATTAAATACTTATCTAAAATAGTTCATATTTCATTCCTTGGGCCTCTTCAGTCCTGGATAAAATATCTTATTAGACTTATGATGCATATTTCAATATCAATCTAAAATGTGCCGGGTGGCAGATAATTTTCAAATGTCTCCCAGTAAGCGAGTCACCTGCAGGCCTGGCAGCAGGCCTGGCTGCAGTGGCTCCCATGTGGGTGGCCAGCAGAGTGTAGTCTGTGGGAACAGAGCATTTCAGGCCCTGCCCACACCTGCTGAGTCAGAGTCTGCAATTTAAAAGCAGAGCAAGAGATTCCTACCTCTGTGAACTTTCCAGGACAGCCTCTCCATTGTGAGTTCAGGCTAAGCTGCTTGAACTCCCCAAGTCTAATTTCCCGTTGGCAGATGAAGAGTCTAATACCATCCTCAGTGTGTGCACGAAGCAATTGGCCAGAGCAGAGACCCGGGGAACAATGGCTATTATTATTATTTTTTAATGAATTCAAGGCACTGTGCCAGCCCCCACATGGCCCCTGACTGCTACTACTTGCCAAGAAAGGCAGACAAAGCCTGTATGCCTCGCCAGTACCAGACAGCAGGGCTTCTGAGCTGCCAGTTGTGGCTGGGGGTTCCACAGGGCCTGGCAGCCCCTCTGGCTGGGGGCTGGGACTTCCTCTACCTCACATGAGATTATGAGGGCCTAGCTCTGCTCAAAAGAAGATCCGGATTCTTAGTAATCCAGAAAGTGAAGATTCAAATGATTCCTTTATAATTTGTCTTTTTGTGTGTGTGATGTGTATATGATGGGTGTGTATATGACGTCTTCATGAAGCATGTGTATATGACGTGTGCATGAAGCATGTGTATATGATGGGTGTGTATATGATGTATGTGTGAAGGGCGTGTGTATGTGACGTGTGCATGATGAGCATGTATAGTGATGTGCATGATGGGTGTGTAAGGTGAATATCTGCATACCAATGTGAGTACATGTGAGTACTGCACTTGCATAGACACCTTTGGAGGTCAAAGGTCGATCTTGTTTGAGACAGGGTCTCTTGTTTCGCCACTGTGTCCACCAGGTGCCCTGCAGTTTCTAGGGACTCCACCGTCTCCACCAGCCATCTTGCTGTAGGACACTGGAGTCTGGTTTCATTGGATTCTTTACCTACTGCCATCTCCCCGGTCCTATAATTTTGTTTCTATACAAATGACTTTTTTCATAAAAAGAAAAGAAATCTACGGTTTTCATTTATTCCAGTAACGAGGCACTTCTGTGGAGAGTAACACCCAGCAGCTTTGTTCTCAGGACCCTCTCCGCTCTCCATCTACTTGTTAGCTTGAGACGTGCATTCTTAGGAACCATTAATCCAAAGCTATGTCCGAGTCTGTCAGAGTAGGAAAGCTGATGTCTGCCTTCTATCAACTCAGCACTGACTGACAGAGCCCTGAAGAATGTATAGGTATCTGCGCTTACATTTAACTGACCCAAGAGTTTCAAGGAGGCACACTGACCTCTGACCCTAGACCCAGCCTGAGATGGGGGAAGACTCGGGAATGTCTGGATGGCAAGTACCTTCAAGGTTTCCTCGAAAGTCGGGTCCAGAGTGTTCTTTTGGACTTGTGTCTTGCGTTTTCCCTGGGAGGACCTATCAGGCAGAAGGTAGGTCTTGACATACCTAGTGGGCAGAGGTAGAAGAACAAAGGGAGAACTCAACATGGGGTGAAAAAGAGAGTAGAGGGAACTACAATGCAGCATTCATGGTTTCTCTGCGCGGCTGGAGCTTGAGTTGATAGACAAGATTTGCATTCTGACTTGAGTGTGTGTGAGTGTGTGTGCATGCGTGTGCACACAAACATGTGCCTGTACACCTTCACATGGAGGCCAAAGGTTGAAGTTTGACGTCTTCCTTAATTGCCCTTAACCTTATTATTATTATTATTATTATTATTATTATTATTATTATTATTATTATTATTATTATTATTATTATTATTATTATTATTATTATTATTATTATTATTATTATTATTATTATTATTATTATTATTATTATTATTATTATTATTATTATTATTATTATTATTATTATTATTATTATTATTATTATTATTATTATTATTATTATTATTATTATTATTATTATTATTATTATTATTATTATTATTATTATTATTATTATTATTATTATTATTATTATTATTATTGCTATCGTTATTAACAACCTAGCTCCTGGAGCTCCCTGGTTAGTCTAGACTGTCTAGAGTGGTCTGCAAGCCCCAGGGCCCCTCCTGTCTCCACTTCTCTATCACTGGGTGACAGACATGCAGCACCATGCGCAGCTTGTTGCACAGATCTTGTTGGGATCCAAACTTGGGTCCTCGCACTTGCTAAGCAAGCACATTACTGACCAAGACACCCCCTACAGCACACAATTTGCGCAGCCTCGGCACTGTGTGAGGAACTTTTGATTCTGACCCTTTGGCGGAGGAGGGTCAACCATGTAGTAGGAACTAGCACTTCCCTTCCCTCTGGGTTTGGTACCCACGAGGTCTGTAAAGGCCAAGGGAAGATGGCTGTGAGAAGCACCTCTGGTTAGTTTTGAGAAAAGAATGTGGGCTGATGCTATCAGAGTGGAATGTGACAGCCATTCCACCTGAAGACATCCCATCTTGTCAGAAGTGTGTGTGAAAGTTCATTGGTCAGCCAGCTTAGCCAATCAGCTTTAGGTTCAGCTGTGTGTGGGGGTGGGGTGGGGGAAGGGTCCTGTCTCAGAGAGAGAGAGAGAGAGAGAGAGAGAGAGAGAGAGAGAGAGAGAGAGAGAGAGAGAGAAAGAGAGAGAGAGTGCAATTGTGGAATGCACCTACACAAAAAAAGAATTAATTTACCTTTTTTCTAGTTCTTAAAAGGTTTAAGTAATTAATTTTCAGTCTTTCTTCTTTGTATACATAAACATTGCTTTGACTAAATTTTGAAATGTGAAAGTCAGGGGGTGTTTTGGGGCTAGGACTATTCCAAATCCCTGGGGCTATGATGTCATCAGAGAAACGGAAGCCAAGACCAGGCAATACGGGGATCTTTATGGAAAATTGTAATTGCTATAGAAAGTTGTATTTTGAGGGGCAGGCAGAACTGAGGAGCTACTGAAGGCTTTAGAGTGGAGAAGAGTTTGATTAGCTCATCAATCCACTGCTTTCCCTACCATCACTTGCAAGAGCTAGTAATTGAAACAATTTGGAGAAGGAAAGTCCTTGCTTTAAGCCACACCAGAAAACCAGTTCTCCTACTTCTAATATGAGGTGTACTTAGTGACACGGACACACACACACATACACACATATATATATTCATATATATATATTCACACATATATGAAGAAAGTAGAAACATGTTCATGTATCTATAATTTCAAAGTGTCATGGGAATTCTGTACACACAAAAAGGCAGATTTTTTTAAAAACTATTGTTGCTAGAGAGATTGTTTTTGTTTTTATTTGAAATGGGATCTTGCTACATAGTTCAGACTGCCCCAGAACGCACTATGTGGTCTGGGCTGGCCTCGACTCACCAGGCCTCCTATCTCAGTCTCCCATATACACATCTTGCTTTTGTTTTTAGTTTTCTTTCTGTCTTTTTCCTTGCAGCGCTGGTGATCACAGCAGACCCTTGCATATGTGAAGCACACACTCCACCTGAGTTCCACCCTCAGAGGCAGGCCTTAAAAGGAAAGGCTTTTGGAAAATGTATCACATCAAATTCTCCACGAGAAAAGTCATCACAAACAACCCAGAAAAGAAGCAATAGCTGGAATAAGTGATGCAAAAAAATACATAACAGATGTAGAACTTTCAAACCCTATTTTAAACAGGGATCCAGTCCATTTTAAACAGGGTTTTAAGACCATTTCCCTAGGGCAATGGAGCTTGCTCAGTGGGTTTGCTCAGCATGCACCAGGGATGAGGCCTAATCCTTTGCACCCAGATACAAATTCCCAATGGCTGGGGATGTACTGAAGATGCAATCTCAGTGACAGAGAATAAGTTTTACATGAATGAGGCCCTGCGTCAATCTCCAGCTTCATACACACAGGTACCTGCATACACATGTATATGTGCACACACAACAACAACAATAGTAATAAATTAATAATAAAACCATGAGCCACAGATCTGAACAGAAGGTTCACCACAGGGGAAACCCAAGTGGCTAATGCTTATGGGAACCTTTGCTCATCTTGGTTAGTTTATCACCTTTAAATAATAGTGGTATCTCTTTTATATCACTGGGGAAATTTTTACAAATTACTTTATGAGAGGCTGGAGAGGCAGCTGACTGGCTAAGAATACTTGCCACAGGGTTCAGTCCCCAGCACCCACACAGTGACTGTAATTCTAGTTCTATGGGACCCAACACTCTTTTCTGGTATTTAGAAAGAGAATGGCTCCCATAGGCTCATATGTTTGAATACTTGATTCCCAGTTGGTGGCACTGTTTGGGAAGGATTAGGAGGCGTGACTGTGTTGGAAAAGGTGTGTCACTGGGGTCAGGCTTTGACTTTTCCAAAGACTTGTGCCAATCCCAGTCTCTGCAGGGAGTTTCTCTCTGCCTCTTCCCTCCCTCTCTGCCTTGTGGAGGTGGGGCAATGTGAGCTCTCAGCTGTTCCCTTACTACTCCATTAGTGACTCTAACCCTCTGAAACTGTATGATTCCTTGGTCATAGAGTTTTATCACATCAATAGCAAAGTAATCAAGACACATGGGCATTGCACACACATGGTACACATGCATGCAGGCAAAACATCCATACACAAAAAACAAGATAAATGGATCTTTAAAAAAAAAAGTTCTTTATGAATTGTGTGAAGGGAGATGTTAACTTTGTTCTTCCAGGACGGAATTAAACTTCTACCACCCTTTATTGAAGGTCCCTTCTCCCTACTGATTGGCTGCAGCTCCTTGACAAACCCTGAATGTTTATGCCTCAAAGTTTCAACTCTTGTGTTGAAACTCCCACTCGATTATTTGGAGGTGGGAACTTTTGGAGGCGGTTAGGCGTGAGGGTGGTCCTCATAAATGGGGATTTGTGCTCTTATAAAGGAGTCCTCAGAGAGCTGTCCTTTCCCTGCTTCTTCCATGGGATGACAGGCACAGATGCCCATCTGAGAACCAGGGAGCTGGCCCTCACCAGAAAGACACCAGCTTTGTCAGTATCTAGGCTTTGCAATATCCATGACTGTGAGGATAAATTTCTGCTGTTTCTTACCCATCCATTATGGCAACTCAAATGGTCTAAAATACCCCAATGCTAAGGTCTATTGAGCCAGACTTTGATCCTCTATTGACGTGTCTTTACCCACAGCTGCCTGATGTCAAACTTAAATTAAAACAAAGCAAGTCCCAGTAACTTACGGATTGCACTTTCTCTTCTTTTCCTCTCCGTAGGCGAGGTTCTTACAAGTCTTGATGTGTATTTCTAAAGAACGGCTTTTAAAGCAATAATGAATGGCAAATTCTATTTCTCCAGTGACATTGGCATTGTCAAAATTACCCATTTCCGTGCAGGTGCTGTTGATGCTAGTTAAGCTTCCCTGAAATCAACGGCAGACATAATCAATTAACTCACATTAACAATTTTGCAGTTCTGCTCTCATGATAAATCATGATTCACATAGAGAATGTACCCTAACTCATGTTAAACTGATAGATGCAGCCCAGTATGCACTTTGCTAACCCAAGTTGCCACTTGGTGACTGCTGAGGCCATAAGGAATCTAAGGACTGTCAGCAGACCTTGCCTCCTATGTCTCTGCCTGGCAATAAAGATTACCCAGCCAAAGTCTTTACCGTGAAGGCTTTGGGAGGAAGTGGACTAGCTCATGTGCCGTTCTGTAAACATAACTCTTGGGCCAGATGGCATCCATGGCTGGACGGTGTGTGTAAAGCAGCAGATGAAAGACTAAGTGGCTAAGGCTAGAATCAGAGAGAAATTGGCTCCAGGACTAATTGCTACTAGTTGGCTGTGTCAAAGTCTAACAGAGAAAAATAGTACCGACCTCAGTGTTATGAAGAGGAACTACACAAAATGACTTATGTGGATTGTGAGAAGATAACAATAAATTATATTTAAATTCTATGGACGTCTAAAATAAAAATGAAATTACCTTCAAATGTTAGAGCACTCTAAGCTTAAATGAATCATGAAGGTTGACATCACTGGATGCCTGTGCCTAAAGATTAAGTCATCTTATCACTATTAAATTTGCTTAAACAACCGACACCATTTGTGAATAGTTTGGGTCAGTGCCGACTTTATAGGGACAGCGAAGCCTAAATAACTTCTGCTTCTAATACCCTCCATACCATAAAACTCCCTGAAAAGAAACCAAGAAAGTCTACAGCAGAAAGCCATAGCTGGCAGAGACAGATAAAGCCCAAACCAACTCACAGGGCCTGGAACCTGCCTTAACTAATGCCAAGAATATAGCCAGCACCGCCACACCCAGGCTCAGAGAAATGTCGTCTGACCAAACCACGTGACAGTCAGAATGGAAAACAACTTTAAACCAGCATACATTCAAAGACACGTGGGATGGGGAGGCAGTGAGAATAAGCGAGGGTTAAAAATGAAGACTGGGGAGGTGTGAGAAGGAAAAAAAGTGAGCTGCCTAGAGAGGCAGGAGGTGGAGGGATGGGAGGAAAGGAAGAGCTAAAGAACTCTAGTCATTACAATGACATTTTTCCTGGGACTGTAGCTCAGTGACAAAGCACTTGCCTACAATGCAGAAGGCCCTGGTTTGATGCCCAGGACTGGGAAACACCTCAAAGGGTCCTTTGCCTAGAACTCGGCCCAGGAGAAGTACTTTGCCCTCCATATGAAATTCCTTGGCGGTGGCTGATAACCCTCCCACCAGCTCCTTGTCTGGGATTCAGTTCTGTTTCTTCTGGAGCCAGAACAGAACTTCAGAGCAAGCTGCAAACTTGAGCAGTAACTCCAGTCATCCAAAAGGTTCTGGCCTGAAAGAGCAACCAAGACCTGATTCCTATCAGAGCAACTGGCACTGTCTGCCTTTGGAAGAAAAGCCAACTGAACTGTCAGGCGTTGGTGGCATACACCTTTAATCCCAGCACTCGGGAGGCAGAGACAGGCATATCTTTGTGAGTTCCAGGCCAGCCTTGTCTACAGAGCAAGAAAAGCAAACTGAGGTCAAAGCAAAAACTGTCCATCCACCAGTGGTCAGGGACCCACTGAAGGTTATGAGGTCATCTACCATCATCTCAAGCTGAGTCCCAGGCCTGTCTATGTCACAAAGGCAGAAAAACTAGGAAAATTACTTTTTTAAAAAAGTTATACACCCAGTTAGCCAAGAACACATGGAAAAGTACTACAGAGTGCCCTGCGGGCTGTGTAGTCTCTAGCACTTTTCCTCAGTTTCCTCGTTTATAAAACGGGAATCTCTTTCATACAGCTGTGTCGGCTCAGTCAGGCTTAGAACCTGGCCTGTGGGTAGTGCCCAGAGTGTAAGTGTCTGCAGGTAACTCCACACCTTCCTGGCCCTTTGCAAGCTGGGTGAACCTCTTCCTTTGTTCTTGTGTCTTTCTTGGCTGTGAATCGTACACAGGATTTAAACAGCACATGTAATACACAAGAGTAGTTTAAAAAAATAACTGGCCGGGCATTGGTGGCGCACGCCTTTAATCCCAGCACTTGGGAGGCAGAGGCAGGCAGATCTCTGAGTTTGAGGCCAGCCTGGTCTCCAGAGCGAGTGCCAGGATAGGCTCCAAAGCTACACAGAGAAACCTTGTCTTGAAAAACAAATAAATAAATAAATAAATAACCATAAAAATAATATCTATCCCCTTCCCATGTTGAGAAAAAGAACACTGGGGCTGGGGCGATTGCTTGGCAAGTAAAGCCACTGCCAGGTGAGCATGAGAACCTGAATTCGTAACCCTGCCACCACATAAAGCCAGACACAGTAACACATCCATAGTCTCAGTGATCCTACAGGCAGAGGCAGGAGAATCCCTGGAAGCCATCCGGCCAGCTAGCCAAGCATAAGCAGTGGAAACAAGAGACCCTGTCTCGAACAAGGTGACTTGGATGATGACGACACCTGAGGTTATTCTGGGACACATATGATATGACAAGTGCATGCCTCTGTTCACACACACGAGCACGCGTGTACATGCACACACGCTGTGCGCGCACACACACAATTAAAAACAAACAACAAACATCCCCGGGATCTCAGAAATGCCCTATACTCAGTCTCTGAGTATATGTCCTCCTTCAATCTCTGCCCTTCCTGTCTGATTATGGGCTGCTTCACAACCCTCTGCTAATCAACATCATTTTTCTTTATGGTTTCATTAGTGATATCAAGTCCCCTCCCAAATATTCTGCCTTATTCTGGTGTTTACACAGTTAAAAGCATTTTATGTGCATATGAACCACAGCTTGTTTCTGTCTGGTTGCTGCCAAATTTCCAACATTAGAACAATTATAAACATAGCTGCCCTGAACATCCATATATGCACATGTAGGGCAACATTTAGGACACACTTTAGAAATACTTCCCATCTATTAAATTGTTCAGGAGAATCTGCAGTGGCCAGGGGTGTGTTAAGCGTGCGCACAGTCCTGTGGCAGAAGCAGACACCTCAAGGCTTTTGAATATGTACATATATCTCCGGGGGAGGCTATAACAATTTCCATTTACCATTTTTCAGATGCCTGCTGCTCTGAGCCCTTGCCTTGCATTTTTCAGATGTTATTAACATCATCCCAAAATAGTATTTTGCTTAAATTGTGCCCTGATTCCACTACTTGGGAGGCTGAGTGATTGTCTCTGTTTATTCCCCGTCTCTATGTATAAGGGGAGATTTCACCAGCTTTCGTAGCCAGCTCCTTGTTTCTCAAAGTTGTGAATTTCTCTAGGAACAGTAGGCAACATCTTCAGACAAGAAATGATATGGTGGTTATTTGCCTTACGGGACTTTGAATCCTTTAGGCAAATACTGCTTTGGTTTAAAAGAAGACATTACAGTTAAGGACAATCTAATCTCACCATCATAAATCTGAAGGGTACACAGCACAAAGAGAGAGAGAGAGAGAGAGAGAGAGAGAGAGAGAGAGAGAGAGAGAGAGAATGGAGTGCCCTATTGAGTTTAAGCCAAGAGAAACCATTGTAGGAAAAAGGACCCACACCACAATGTCTTCCTCCTTAGTCCTAACTCCTCTTCAAACACCTCAATTTTTTATATGCTGCATATGTATACGTATGAATACATGTTCATGTGAAGGCACACATGTCACAGTGTCTGTGTGAATGTTGGAGGACAACCTTGGGTGTCAGTCTTTACCTTCCACCATATTTACACCAGGCTAACTGGCCTTGAGCTTTGGGGCATTCCCATGTCTGCACCGCCCATCTCACTGTAGGGTGTTGGGATTGTAGACACATGCCACAGCATCTGGCTTTTATAGGGTCCCAGGGATTTGAGCTCCAGACATCATGATCTTAGTTTTACCCTCTGAACCATTTCCCTCTGCCCAATCTTAACTCTTGAAGGTTTTCCAGGCAGGGATCAGCTAGAAAGAGAGAAGAAACAAGGGCGGTGCAAATAAGAAAAACCAGTTCATTCAAGAGCTCAACAAGCCTGTGGGTCATACCTGATATCCTGTAGTCCCTGGGTTAGTTGACCCCAAGTTCTGCAGTCCCTGTAGGACTCTGGTAAACCACCTGACCCCTGACTCTCAGGTGGCTCAATTGTGAGATGGACTAATGGTGGCCACCACATGGTCACAGGAGAATGTGAGAGATGAGAAGCCATCAGCACCGTCTTTCAGAGCACGGTGGCTCTGATTGACCCATTCACCTGATGTTCAGCAAGGGTCGCTTGAGTGTCAGACACTGCTCAGGGGACTTGGGGATTGCATTCTAATGAACAGTTGATGAGAGGCAGATAAATGAAGTGGGTCTCAGGTAGGAGATGCCAAGGACACGATGTGACTGGAGCAGGTGAGTGAAATGGGAACAGACAGAAGACCTCTCTGAAAAGGAGCCTCCAAACAGAAATTCAGAGAAGGAGGGAGTGGCTTGGGAATGTCTGTGTGTCCAAGGGCTCGAGAGGCAGGGAGTGACCATGTGGTTGAGTGGAGGGAACGATGGAAAAGGGAAGCAGCCAAAGACAAAGCAGAGTGGAGGCAGGGTGTACAGTACCGTGTGCACTATCTCAAGTGTTCTTAGAGACATGTTGGTTCTGGAACTGTAAGAAGGTGACTTAGGCCCATGAAGGAGTGTGGAGCCAACACCAGTGAGATGCCAGGAACTGTGCAGACTCAGTCTCTCAAGCTCTCTGAGAAGTGAGTTCAGCCTTGTCCTCCTGGATCAGGGTCCCTTTGAGTCAACATCGGGCTCATGTTGGCTCATTCCCAGAGTCTCCCTGCCCTCAGACCACTGTCACTGCCTTGAGCCCACCACAGGAATCCACATCAGAAAGGAAGGTTCCAGAGCCAGCCTTGCCCACCTGATCTTCATGGAGAAGTCCTCTTGCCTTACATCTTTCTAGACTAGTCTCAGACACAAACAGCCCTAGGTGTTGAGCTATCCTCAAATGTGAGCCCTGAAACCTATGATATGGGGAGACTGAGAGTATGTCATGAGAGTGGAGCCTTCGTGAATGGGGTTATATCCTTATGAAACAGGCCAAAGGGAGCTCCCTCACCGCTTCCACCAGGTGAGCACACAGCTTGGAGATGACCACCACGAAGCAGGAAACAGGCCCTGAACAGGTTGAATCTGCCATCATCTTGATCTTGGAAACACATCTTCTAGAATCCTAAGTAAATTTCTATGGTTTTCAACTTACCAAGTCAGTGGTGTTCTGTGATAACAACACAGAACCAATCAAAACTACAGTTAATCAAGGCCTCAGGTTCCCGCCTCAAAATTCTGGGCATCAGAAGCATTAGGTTTGTTTAGCAAATGAGTGGATAGGTGACTACAGATGCAGTCGAGAAACGGAACAGATTTAGAACAGTACGAAGCCATCTCGAAAAGGAAGAATAAAATTGATACACTTATGCCTCCAAACTTAAAACAAAGCTACAAACAAGACAAGGTGGTCTTGGCCTAAGCATAGGTCTAGTGACTAGGGAAACAAAGTCCAGAACAGGGACCATGCTCATAAGACTTGATGGGACAAAATGACCAAGGGGACAGCCAGTCTTTTAAAAACAATGGATGCTGTATTGACTAAATAGCCACGTGACATCAGCCTCAACCTGTGCATCCTACCAAACGAGTCAGAGTACAGATGGAAATATGAAAGGGAAGTTCTAGTTAAAGCTTGTAGAAAAACAGGGCACTATCTTCACAGTCCATGAAGATACAAACTACAGGAATACCCAGAAAAGAAATCTTGATAAATGAGACCATCAAACTTTCAAACATTTTCTCTGGATTGGGTGGCACACACTTTTAATCCCAGCACTTGGGAGGCAGAGTCAAGCAGATCTCTGTGACTTCCAGGACTGTGTAGTCTACATAGTGAGTTTCAAGCCAGTCAGGGCTACACACAGAGACCCTGTCTCAAGCAAAACAAAATAAACTTTAAAGCTCTTCCTTGAAGATGGTGGCACACACCTTTAATGCCAGCTCTCAGGAGGCAGAGGCAGGCAGATCTCTGAGTTTGAGGCCAGCCTGGTTTACAGAGTAAGTTCCAGGAAAGACAGAACTACACAGAGAAAACCCATATCAAAACACAAAACACAGCCCTGAAGACGGAGTTTCTTTCCATCATTTATCAAGAAAATGCCCAACAGACTTGCGCATGAGCCAATCTGATGGAGACAGATGGCTCCAGTCTGTGTCAAGTTGACAAAAACCAGCACAATCACCAGTTACTTTCTGAAGGTATAAAATGCTCTCAACAAGATGGTATTTTTAAATAGGTGAACAGGAAATCCAGCTTCAACATATTTTGAGGGTTTCCCTAGCTTTAAATCGACATGAAAACCATATCCACGCTCTACTCTTACACTCCAGTGTTGACCACAAGACAACAATCTATTCCTTTCCTTGTGTCTTAGCTACTTTTTTATTACTATTGCCATGACCAAGGCCACTTGTGGAAGAAAGTTTAGTGGGGGCTTCCAGTTTCAGAGGGTGAGTCCTTGACCATCAATAGTGGGGGGGCATTGTAGCAGGCAGGCAGGCACAGAGTTGGAACAGTAGCTGAGAGTTTACATCTGTTCCACAAGCATGAAGCAGAGAAGGAGCTAACTGGGAATGGCATGCGCTTTTGAAAAAAGCCTGCCACCAGTGATGTATGTCCTCCGACAAGGACAACCCTCCCAATCCTTCCCAAACAGTTCCACCAATTGAGAACCAAGCATTCAAATACATGAGCCTGGGCTGGAGAGATGGCTCAGCAATTAAGAGCTGCTCTTCCACAGGACCTGCGTTCAATTCCCAGCACCCACATGGCCACTCACAGCTGTCTGTAACTCCAGCTCCAGGGGATCCAACACCCTCACACAAGCCTATGGGGCAGTTCTCATCCAATGCACCATGCCAGGCCAGCTGGACAATGTTTGATTGGTTTTTCTTCCCTGGTACTGGGGATCCAACAGTTGTGCTGTGTACACACTATGTCTGTGTCTACTACTGAGCTACATTTCTAGTCCCTGATGCCTTGAGAGCCACACATCTTCTGAGAGTATTAGGACAAGACTCACGTGTCTTAGGCCTCCAGAGAAGACAGAGCTGTGTGTCGGACTGGCTGGGAGAGGGTCTTGCTTCAAAACAGGGCTGGGAGGGTGTTTGGGATCTTCTTGATGGAAGGCTTTCAGAATATCTGGTGAGCTGACTTTCTGGAGAGGGTAAAAACAAGAAATCATAGCCCATATCCCCATGCGGCTGAAGAGGCCAGCAAGTGCAGCCTGTGTCTGTGAAGTGATGTTTCTCACGCACTAACTTCTGGCAGCTGGGTAGGAAGACACACTTGTATTTGGACTGATGCACACCCCACACACCAGCAGGATGCTAAGGCAAAATCACTAGGGACAGCTGTGAGCACTGACAGGTGGGCTACTTTGGGTTACAGAAAGTGCTAAAACATTTAAAATCTGGCTTTAATAATGACCATGGCATGCAATCACATGAAATATAGTATTCATATTGATAAACAATTTTACTTCCCAAAAAAGAAAAAAATACATCTTTAAATTATATGTATTCTTGCTGGGAGGTGCTCACACCTTTAATCCTAGGGCTTTGGAGGCAGAGGCGGGCAGATCTCTGAGTTTTCTGTCATCCTGGTCTACAGAGTGAGTTCTAGGACAGCCAGAGCTGTAACACAGAGAAACCCTGTCCTGAAAAACCACAAAAGAGTATGTATTCTTTTATTCTTTTGCTAATAATTAGCATTTCTTCTACAATATTACAGCTGTACTCATCAAAAGCCACTAACCACATGGGGTGGATTCAATTCAAATTAGTTGAAGTAAAACACAGTTTACAAACTGGGTTCCCAGCTGGACCACGCTGAGTGTGTGGCCACAAGAGGACATCCACGCCAGAATCCACACGGGTACGGCTATTTATCCACAGCCTCTCCTGTACTACCTTGCTTGGATTCCCTCAACCCTCACAACTCAGACAACCTCTGGGCTGTGACTGCCTGGGAGGCTCTGTCCCATAGATTCATTCAGCAGGGGAGGGGCATGCCAAGGATGCCAAGTGACACCAGCATTCAGAATGCCAGGAGTGAGGTCTAAGGGAACTTGAGATACCCAGCATGGGGCACATCTCACAAGAAAACAACAACAACAACAACAACAAAAACCAGCACCTCTTGTGGCAGGAGCTGGGGGAGGGGCTGGAACACTCTAAGCTTGGCCTTCTCCTTCTGACCACACCGTCCTCTGCCAGCTCTCTACCCCAATGTCCTCATCTTTAATGGGGACAAATCCTACAGAGTGGCTTTAAAGATAAATGCCAACATGGTCTCTCTGCAGAGGATGGTGCCTGGCATGAGGACAGCCTTCAGTCAGTGCCATTATCGGACTAGCTTCATCTGACCTGGAAAGCGATGTACTTTGGGAGTTCCCTTCCTTAACCCTCCTCCTTCAGGCCTTCCCTTGTCCTCACAGGGAAAATGGAAGCAGCCTAGAAATTAACAACATCTAACTTAGGTTCTACTCCTGGCACCATGGTTTCCTAGCTGCTAGATGTGTTGGTTGACCTCTGAGTAAAACTCGGGTTTTTGATCATGGTCTTGTGAGTCTATTCTGTGATTAGGTAGACAACTAAGGTACTATCTGCCCAGAACAAAGCAATTTAAAAGTAGACCTCGTACTGGCTCCCATCTGCCCATGGACCCTGTGCTAGCCCCCATCTGCCCGTGAACCCTGTGTTAGCCCCCATCTGTCTACTTGATGAAGAGGATGGCTCCAGCGAACAGATAATGTTTGCACTTGGGAATTTCAAAGCCTTGCTGAGAACATCTCAAATATTTGAGACACATGTCATTGGAAAACTGTCAGCATCAGCAGACACTTATCACCAGAAGCTCAGCAGAAAGTCACCAAAGACTCCACATCTCATACCCAGTAAGGACTCGGTGATGTTGGAGTCTGTGCATCTCACCCAGTGAGGACTCGGTGATGTTGGAATCTGCATCTTAACTAGAGTCCAGTAGCTCTCCTCCAGCCATAACTCACGACTCAAGAAGTTACTCCATAGTTCGGCCTCCAAACCACGATGGGACCAGTTCAAACATAGCATCCTTAATCAGTTAAGTCTTTATAAATATATAGATTATGGCTATGGTTGATACTTAAGACAGAGCAAGCATATTAAGAAATCCTAATAATTGGCCAGCAGCATTGTACCAAATATAAGTCTCTGTGTGTTATTCTGGCCACCCACATGGTGGGCGGAACTCGGGCAGCTGGCGGAAAGATTTATTGTTACATTGCTTCATAGCTGTAATTTTGCTACTGTTATGAATCACAATGTAAATATTTTGGGGGGATAAAGGTTTGCCTCAGGACCCACAGGTTGAGAACCCTTACTCTAGAGCATGTTCCAGAAGTAGGTTACATTCACCACTGTCACAAAAAGGACAGTCTGGGGACATCTTAGATGGAGCACACAGTCACAGAAGAGGGACATGGTGGGTCCTATAGAGACCAGCAGATCAGACACATTGGACTGCAAACAACAGGTGCTGACACTTGCCTGCCAGGTCACCTGGGCTGAACTGGAACCCCAGTATTTGACTCCAAAGCCAGCATTATCTGGAGTTCAGTGCACCTGTTTTTAGCATAACCCACTAGGTAGAAGGCATTGTGATGGTCTCCGTAAGAGCTCTGCTTTCTCAGTGAACTCTGTTGCTTTAGATTCCGGGGTAGAAGCTGCCCTCCTGCTCCTTCACCATGTGCAGAGTTATGTTTTCACTTTCCAGCAGAGGCCGAGGCAGAGCCTAAACAAAGGTTCTTTGCCTTGAATGGAAGTTGGAAGGCCTCTGCATAAAGAGACTGTAGACCCCAGAAAAATGGCAGGTCAGCCCTGCAGGTAAGACCTGCTTTGAGTGTGGCACTGAAACCAGAGAAAAGCAGCCTTGGGAGAGTGGGATCCGGTTAGAGTCTGCCCCTGATCTGACCAGTTCTCCATAGTGATCTTGAATCATCATCACCATCATCATCATCTTTTTTTTTCAGGGAAGGGGAGTCTCACATTGTCCCTCAGGTTGGTTCTAACTTCTTGATTCAGACAAGCCTCCCACCTCAGCCTCCCACATAACGGGGAATGCAGGCACAAGCTGCATCTGGCTCGGATCTTAAACTCCACCTCCTTTGGTCAGATGTGCCTGAATAAGGATTATATACACTTGGGTTTTCCTGGATGATTAAGGTTTTCTATCAAAAGAACAGTGAATGCAGAGGAAAATAGGCCCGAAAGCCCAGAAAAGATGACATGAAGGTGCAGAGGCCCCCAGGCCTCAGTGCTTACCCTGGAGGTGACATTGACGGCTGTGTCTGACTGGCTCCGCCTCTCTGTGGGGACCACACACTGCCTGGGATCCATCGCCAGAAGGTGCTTCTCAGAAGTCACATCATTCTGGGACTTGGAGAGCTCTAGAAAACAAACACAAGGGGTGATACTTGGGAGCGTGAAACTTTGCCAAGACTTACAGAGCCTAGGGGCCAGAAAGACAAAAAAGATGACTAGGCAAGGGAGGCAGGTCCATGGTAGAGCAAAGGGCACTAGGGGGTGACTGTGTGCCCGAGGCAGAGAAGAAGAAAGGCTAGCCCCTTCAAAGGTCCACAATGGCCATGTGCCTCTGTGGGCAGCCAAAGGGAACTTCTCAATCAGCTTCCCTGTGCTCTGGGCCATCCGTGTGATCAACTACCTACCCAGACACAAGAAGCTAGCTTTTTAGGGGTTCCTGATAGAGACTGTTGACCAACTACTTTCTCCTGTGACTATTGGAAAGGATAAGACTTGAGATGGCCTGATAGCTGTTTTAGTAACCATGCCTGTGAAATTCTGGATTTCTCAGCACAATAGTGTCCAATTGTTTTGGCTTCTGTGGCCTATGTAGGATGAGGAACTGGCTTGGGACACACATTAAAATGACAATGAATAAAGTGGGAGGGAGGGAACCCCATGCAAACAGAAGCTCCAGACTCCCCCTCAGGTCCAGCCCCTCTTCCCAGAGCTCCATACCCCAACTATCCTCATAGCACTCTCTACTTAGAGATGAAACTTGAATTGCCTATGCTATTCTAAAATGTTTTCTTAACATGAACAGATGACATTAATCTTACCTCTGTTTCATCTAACACAATGTTCAGATTGTCAAGGTGGATTGTGAATATTAAAGTTACTTGTGAGACCATCCCCCGACTGTACAACAGTTCTCTGGGATCTAGGGTATGACTCACTCCAGCTGTGCTCCTTGCAGCAGTTCCTTGGGAACTCATGAGCATCATCTGTGTGCTGGTCCACACATGGAGACGTCATTGGGGTGACCCCATGCTTCCATTGCCTGCCACCTGCTGTCTGCACTGTCTGGGGAGAGCCTGGGAGGTCCCCTTTCCTCAACATGGAGATTCCTGACCTGCTTCCCAAGCCCAGGGCACCCAGTTTGCCCATCTTGCTTCCCAGTTGCTCTTCTCAGAGAACCACACCACCCCAGCATTCTCAAGTATACCATCCAGAAGTATCTTGGGGGGCATCAGTTGATGCTAGCAACTGGAAAAGGCAAGCACATGGCAAGATCCTTAATGACAACCATCCTGCAGCAGCCAGGATGTAGAGGGTGCAAAAGGCTCCTATGTCTGGACATCTGCCTGTCATCTGTCTGGTCACACTAGTTTGAGACTGTGCCTTTTTGGTCCATTTGAAGGTCATGGCTTCAAGTAGAGGAGAACCTGAGAAGTTTGGGGTTCTGACAAGTAGCTTTCTACATCAGTGTGACTAGAGGATAGGAGTGTGGGAAGGGGAACAAGGAGGAACAGAAAGAAACACAGATTGCTCCCAAGTAAGAGTCAATTCAACCCACTCTTCATCTGCTACGGGGGCCCATCGTGCAACATTTATGGGTTTTATAAAGGAGTGGAATCTCTTTCTTCTAGGTGTGTTGGACAACATTGGTAGACAAAGGGTGCCATTCTCAAACCCTGTGGTTCCAAACCAAAGTTAGCAACCTAGGCCATTGGTCCTCAGATTGCTCTGGGCCCTTCTCAAGCCCCTCCCTGAGGATTCCAGGCACTAATCCACCTTCCTCCCCACCAAAATTGGGCTTTCCTCTGTACCTGCTTCTGAGGAAAATGGAGCAAGGAGGAACACACCAAGAACAAAATGAAGAAATGGGAATCCACACCAACAAATGCTACATGTCCATTCCCAGGCCCCAGACAGGTGGCTTTGGCTGTCTCTGCCTATGGCTGATGGCAGGCCAAGCATAGAGACTGCAGGTCGCAGCTGACTTCCCTGTTTGAGGACAGGTGCTACCCCCACCCCATCTATGTAGACAAGTCTCAAGTGCCAGGGCAGGGGTGGGGACGGGGCTACATCAGGTGCACCTCTGCATTTAGGGCTACCTGTGTTGAGGGCACATGTGCTGTGACATGGGTATCCTGCCTCTTTAGATTTTGGTGGCTGAGGAATCTCAGTGTTGGGATTAATTCTGAGGCACAGGCTCCATAGAAGCCTTGGGCTGAGGGAGCAAACTAGGATTTCCAGAAAGAAGTCGCCTGTGTTAGAGTTTCTGCAAGGCTGATTGATTAGAATGTCTGTAGAGAGTTGGAATATTGTAGGCTCAAGCTAAATTATCTTGGGCTATAGTTAGTTCCCTTAATAGCCATTCATTGTCTACCTGGGTGTATGATGTAACATCCATCCTTGTGTGACTTTTGGGTAAATCCTTTTGGGATATATGAATAAACTTGGGGCTTCCCTCAACCCAAAGCCCAAGATGTCATCAGGTAACGAGGCCTCTAACAGAAACTTCCCCGTTTTGTCACAACCCGGTTCTTTGATGTTTCCACCACTAAATTTGAAAAGTGTTCTTAATTTATGGCTTTCCTTGTATTATTACCACAGAATTTCCATGAAACTTTTACTGTATTTCACTGTGGGACTTAGGGTAACCAGAGCTGCTCATCTTTGTCTCCAGAACAAACTATGTCTTATTTCCTTTGAAATGAGAGTGGTGTTTTTTGCAGCAATAGAGAATGCACACAAGCCATGTGGACTTGGGGAGGGGTCTGGTTTGTAAGGCTGCCCTGGGACTGGCATCAGCTGTGCAGAGAACAGACCACTGCCACAGCCAAGCTGATGTCTTCAGAGGGGCAGACAGGTCCATCAAAGTCAGCTTCCTCCTCCTAAAAAGAGGCCCAGGACAGCCCACTGCTTAGACCATCAACAATGAGACCATCACAGGCAACTACAGAAAGAGGGAGGCAAATGGAAGACAAAGAAGAGGGTAGAGAAAGAGAAATGGGTGCCCCAGGTCCATTTGGACCCGTTCTATCACTGCCCAGGTCTGGACATCTTAGGAGGCCTGAGAAGCTGAAGTGGGTAAGAACATCTGAACAGAGGAATGCTGAAAGAGATGGGCTGCCAAGCCATGGCAGGGGCAATTGCACCTGCAGCTTGAGGGATTACTGCCACCTGCAGAAAAGTTTACCAGGGAGAAGATTGGACAAGCGGAAGATACCTGGCCCTGCCAGCCAGAAAGGCCAGGGTTTTGGATTTATTGCAAGATATTTTCAGGTTTTGTTTTTGTTTCTCTGGAATTCTTTGTGCTGCTGAGCTGGGCAGGTTTGGGCAAGACAAGCAGGGGTCAGAGCGAGGCCGATAGACTGAAATGGCGCCTGTCCTCCGCAAGGAGCCAGAGGCCACTCTGTGACCCATGGCTTTCCCGCCTGGGCTGCCTGCACAGGGCAGGATGGAAGAACACATCCCGAGTATCACTTACTTCTCATCTGGGTGGTGACAGACAGAAACAAGTTTTCCACGGACTTATTAAATCCTCTAAAGTGACCAAGTTCCTGTAACTGAAACAGACATAGCTGTTAGACCACCACCTGTGTTTGTCCCACCACCTCCAGGCCGCCAGTCCCCAAACACTGCAGGTGGGAAGGGGGGGAAAGGGTACAGGTGTGGGCACAAGTGTGTGTGTCTGGAGGGGATAAGGCACAGCCCCCAGGAAGGAGGCATCCCCAGCCCTCAGCCATCTTCCTCTGTGTCTGGGGGCCTCATTAAAGAATGGAGCAAGAAGGTAACAACTCCCTCTTAGACATAATGACTGACATGTCATTGGCTCACAGATGGTACTCAGCTAATTACTGCTTGTGTGACCTCCTTCCTTTCATAGCCCTACACAAATCCTATGTAGAAGGAACAGAATGCAGGTGACATAGGGACAGAGCTCTCTCCCCCAAAAGGGACACAGAAAAGGGAAAAACAGTAACTTTGTTCAGGTCTCATCCATCCACCTACCTACCCAACTGTCTGCTCACCCACCATCTACTCATGTAGCCACTATTTATTCCTCTATCTGTATCTATCCATCCATATCCACTCATCCAATGTCCATCAATCTAGCCATCCACCCATCCACCCAGTTTCCACTTGTCTATCCACCTGCCTCAACATTCTGTGTATCCATCCATTCGCCCACCCAACAATCCATGCATGCATCCATCCATCGACCATTTATCCATCTACCCACTGACTGCCCATTTGTCCACATTCATTTGCCCAGCCCATACAACTACCTGCCCAACCAACTATCCATCAATTCACCCAAAAATATGCCCCCAGAACACAATTGCAGGAGAAAATAGAGTAGAATTGTGAGGTTCACCCCAGGGTGTCTGTGAACTTGGAAAACAATGAACATGTTTTCATCTCTCAAATGGACATGTCAATTATCCCATGTAAGATAGAACCGTTCTCTTAACCCACAGATTGCTGAAGATAATAAAAGCCATACAATTCCTTGCACTTTAGTTTCCAAGCACACATAGACATTATCCTGCATGGGAAACAAGTCCAAGAATTATTTCCACTTCTCAGGTGGAAAACCAAGGTAACTCTGAGGTCAAACAGCTAAATTCTTTGGATAGAAATGATTCTGGTCTCCCCAGAGCCTGCAGACACTGATTCATTTCCACAGATGCCCCCCCCACCCCCACAACCTGCCCTATACACATGTCAGACCCATGCACATTTAAAAGCACACTACAGAGTCAGGGATGGGAGCTGGTGACAAGACTCAGGACAAGATGTCTCAGGGTGCAAGCAGACAGAGCCAGCTGAGACTACAGATGGTCCCTGGCAATGGAGTGAAAAGGAAAACGTATCTCCATTCCAGCTCCAGCTAAGTCAGGATCTGTTGGCCCATCTCTCCAGCATCCTCCCTGGCCTTCCTTTCCTGCTTCCCACCCAGGGACAGATGAGTTACCCTGCCAGGGCTGCCGCTGCACTGGCTCTCACTGAGTGGTGGTGGCGTAGGAGGGACCACAGAGATTTTGCTGCCAAAGAGAAACAAAAAAAAAAAAATGGGTTAGAACTACTCATGTTACTAGTTTACATGTCTACAAATGTGAGAGTTTATCACTCAAGCTCTTAGCTTTGTTTGTATTTGATTTCCTTTTAAAGAAAATGGCCCAGCAGTATGGCTTGGCCCTGTCTCTCTGCACAGGTGTTGTGTGCTGGTGTCTCAGAGGGACATGAGGGTTTCACTGCCTCAGTCCTGGCATCGACTTCTCCATCACATTCTGAAGCCACTAGGGTACCCTGGCTCCCACAGAGCTGCTCTTGGACCCAGGCTTTGTGTGTGGGGTCCTATCTGGACTCTTGTATCCTTAATACAAACCACACCAGCAGAAGAACCAAAATGTGAAAAAACAAAACAAAACAAAATTTAAACACTAGAAAACTGGAAGCATGAGCTAAAAGAAGAACCCATGGCAGATGGGAAAATATAGTAAATAGTAGGTATGGCCATGTGCCTGTAATCTCAGTGCTGGGTAGGCCGGGGCAAGAGGATCGCCAGATCTTCATGGCCAGCCTGGGCTACATAGCAATGACCAGACCATGGAGCTACTGGCAAGACCCTGTATGGGGAAGGAGGAGGAGGAGAAAGGGAGGGGAATGATGATGGAGGGGGAGGAGAGAGAGAGAAGGGGGAGGAGGGGGGAGGGGAAAATGGTATATTAGGCAGATGCCCAGCACTGGGGAAGATGCCAGAGAAAGGAAGGGAAATAAACACAACTGCTTGTTTAGACTGTCTCAAATGCACAATCAAAAATGATATTTCATTTTTTTTACAGCCTTTCAAGAGCATCTGAGAGGGAAAATGTTGAGTAAAAAATACGATAGCTAGACGGTTCCTCATGAAATCTGGACCCTCCTCTTAATCTTTTCCAAGAACTTCTTAAATTTTTTTTAAAAGTTGTGTTCCTGAGCAGTGAGCTCTAGAGGTCGGGGATTCATGAGTTCTTTCAGGACGTCCTCTGAGCTCCTGCTGACGTGGGACAAGATGTCCTATGCACTCACCTCAGCCTCTGATAAGATTGCAGGAGCTTTGCCCCAGCAGTCTCATGTTTGCCTGGGGGAGAAACAAGTCAAGGGCAGTCAGTACTGAGAACATACTGTAGGTGACAAACACTGTAATCAATACAGTAAGATTATTTTAATATCACTTCTGCTTATTAAAAAGATCCTTTGGGGGGTGGTGACAGAAATGCTCAAACCAGATCATGGGAGCTGGGTGAGATGGCTCAGCAGGTGAAGGCACTTGCCACCATACCTACCAACTTGAGCTTCATCCCCAAAATCCACATGGTGCAAGGAGAGAGATGACTCCTCCAAGTTGTTCTCTGATCACTACACATGTGCCTGGCACATTCATGCATGTGTATACACACACACACACACACACACACACACACACACACACACACACACACACCATTAATAAACACAGGGTTGGATAGACGGCTCAGCAGTTAAGAGCACTGACTGCTCCTCTAAAGGACCTGGCTTTGATTCCCAGCACCCACATGGCAGCTTCCCAACCATCTGAAACTACAATTCTAGGGGTTTCAATGCCCTCTCCTGACCTCTGTGGTATCACATGTGGAGCACAGAAATATATACAGACAAAACAACCATACAATAAAAAATAGTAAACATAAAAATATAATTGTAGATGGTGGGGATTATTGTGCAGCCTTCCACCTCTGGAAAATCACTGACTTTTTAACACCCATACACATACACAGTGACTTGTTAACAGAGCCCACCACCCAAATCCATCATGTCTGGGACCGCTTCTATTAGAAGCTGATGTTGAATTAGATTTTCTAAATCTGAGTAATTTGAAACAATCCTTTAAGTTCCCCAGCTCCTTTCCCCAGGAAACACTGCATACAAAATGCCCCTTGTGATGATGACTTGAGCTAATCTCTTTTAAAATGTAATCTACTTATTTCTAGTTAGAGTGACTAATAATTTCCTAAATCAGACTGTGCCTGCAATAGTAGTCCTTTTTGTTTCCTGATGGTCTAAACCTCCCCCCACCTCAATAAAATTCTGCCTGCCCATATTCCTGTGACCACGGTGGCTCTTAGCTACCACCACAGGGGTGGGTGGGTAGGGCTGCATTGTGGTAGTAGGTTTGCAGCTCAAGGAGATTTCTAGAATCTCCATATGGCCTGGCTCACTGGGGCTCTGGGAGGGGAGGAGAGCTCTTGTGCTGTCTGGAAGATTTTAATTCATTGCAGAAATTTGGGTGTCAGTGTTACTTAAGGACACACTGACAGAGTGGGATGGATGCTACCAGGATGGGCAGGGCCACCTCTAGGAGGGACAGACAACATCCAGAGTTAAACCCTCATGTCAAGCCCAGCCCCAACCTCAAAACAGGGTGTATCCCCAAATCCAGATCTCTAGCTTGGCTGGCTCCAGAGGGGCAGGAATCTTAAAATCATAGCTAAAGGACTTTTGTCTAGTTTTGTTTGAGACAGGGTCTTGTGTAGCCCAGGCTAGCCTTAAACTCATGACACAGTCTGAGGGGGTCTTGAACTTCAAATCCCGGTGCTGGACTCGTAGGTGTTTACCACTGCCCATGATTTTATTTAGTGTGAGGACCCAAACCCAAGACCTCCTGCACTCTATCAACGGAGTCCTACCCAAGTCCAGATGTTTTTAGTCTCTGTGCTTGTGTACATTTTGGGGGTTCATACAAGCATTCTAAAAGTAACTTGGGAGCATCCCCATATGCTGGTCCACTAAGAAGTACTTCTCTGAGGCAGAACAAGAGGCCTGGCTCAAAGGCTGGCACCTAAACTAGTAAAACCAGAAGACAACACCACAGGGAGCCCCCCATCTCCAAGAGCTGCCTCAACGGTCCCGATAGGAACTGGGAGTCAGCCAAGTTCACTGCACGGTGATGGTGGCAGTGGAGACAGAGGAAAGCAAGGTAAGGGGGACAAGAAAACTGGCACAACTGCATACCCAGCAGGACCCTAGGCGAAAACACAAGGACAGTGAGCACCTACTTCATGGACCATTTAACTTCCCCTAGCCTCTCTCACCTGCCTGTCCTCGGATATCTGCGATACCCAGCCCCGAGGCACAACCCCAAGGCCATTGTTCTCCCACACCCCCAAATCTGATGCTATCATTCCATCACCCAAGGCCTAAATCATTGCCCTACATTGTGTTCCTCAGTGTTCTTGCCTTGCCTGGGCTCTTCTGTACCCACAGCCCTTGTCCTTTCCACTCCAAATAGCTTATAGTTTCTTACTGCCTGCCTGGTTTACCTGGGCTGACCTCTACCTCCGCAATTACTGTCACCCCCTACCTGGTCTCTTGGGGCTACTTCGCCAGGCATTCCTACCACCCCCACCCCCCCGCGACTCATCTCATAACTCTCTACTAACACCCAGCCTGTCCCCACCCCCATTTCATATGCTCCCATGGCCACACTAAGTGGCCTTGCTGCGGCGTGTTTGGCTCTCTGCTGCCCCCTGCAGGCTGTGGCAAGCAGAGGCCCAAGTCCAAATGGGAAGCACTTACCCTCAGGGCTTCTGCTTAGAAAAGCAGCCCTGAGAATTATGTTCCGACCAAACATTATGGACACTAAGGTTTGAATTTAATATCACTTATATGATCACAAGTATTTTTTTTCTTCTCGAGACAGGGTTTCTCTGTGTAGCTTTGGAGCCTATCCTGGCACTCGCTCTGGAGACCAGGCTGGCCTCGAACTCACAGAGATCTGCCTGCCTCTGCTTCCCGAGTGCTGGGATTAAAGGCATGCGCCACCAACGCCTGGCAAATATTAACTTTTTAAACCAAGTGAAAAATTCTAGGGGCTCCAACGATGACTTGGTGGCTAACAGCGCATATTACTCTTACAGAAGACCCAGGTTCAGTTCTCAGCACCCACGTGGTAGTTCACAACCTTCTGTAACTATAGTTCCATAGGATCTGATGCCCTCTTCTGACCTCTGTGGGCACCAGGCACGCCTGTGGTGCAATTCATACATGCAGGCAAAACACCCATACATATAAAATAAAATCTTTTAAAAAATTCTTAGCTTGCAACCTAAGTTTGCCTCAGGGGGAAATGGGAGACTACGCAGAGCCTCAGATCCACCGTCATTGTCCATCAGAACCTACATGGCATGAGAACCCCAAATGAGGGTGATGGGGTGACACAGCAGTCTGCCCCATGCGTGGCTCTTATTCATCCCCTGTTCCCTCCCATTACTCTTGCTCATTGCTTTTAGTACTTCAAAAACCACCAAATTTTCACATTTCTTTTTGTTGTTAATGCGTTTCTAATTCCTGTAGCCTTCTGAGGAAGTGTGCACAGAGGCCACTCCCCAGAGCTCAGGGGATCAGGGAGCAGGAGGACTGGAGAGGCCTATGTCCCACCCAGCTGCAAGCAAGACCAGCTCCTGGATGGCCTGGGGTTCCTTGAAAGATCATGTGACTGATCTGGAGGGCATGCTCATGCACACACATACGGAAAAACAACAACAACAACAACAACAACAAAAAAAAAACAGAAACAAAAAACAAACAAAAAAACTAGAGGAATGTTCTTACTTTGGTCACATTACTCTCCCCTTTTCCCAGGTAGGTACTTGTCTTGAGAGCTAGGAGTTCCCTGCATTCTGAGACACTTTCCATCAAACCCACTCTGTTCCCACCATATAGAACAGAACACGGGGAAACAGGGCCGCAGGTGGCAGATAAAACCAAAGATGAAGCCATTACAGTCCTCAACTGGTAGGGCTCTATTCTTAAAAGAAGGGAAATTTGAACCCAAGCGGTACCTACTCAGAGGGAAGTTTATGTGGAGATGGGTTTGTGGCAATGAAGGCAGGGCTGGGGTGAAGCTTCTAAAAGTCAAGGACATGCCAGAGCTGCTGAGACCCACTAGAGGCTCGACGAACATGGGGAAGCATAGTCACCTTGGTCTTGGGGTTCCAGCCTCTAAGATATCTAACAGTAACTCTCCACTACTTGGAGCTATGGAAGTAACAAAGGCTTTGGCATTTTACTGTGGTGTCCTAAGAAGCCAGTCTAGAGACCCTTTGTGATTTAGTCACCACCTTCCTCTCCAGGGTCACCTGCTGCCACTACCATCCTGTGTACTTGGTCTTGGTCAGGTAAGGTCTCCAAACAGATACACTGCATAACCCACATTTTATATTCTCTCTAAACCTCTCTCAACTAAAATGGACCTTGTCTGTACCTCATGTTCATATCTTAGTAATGGTTTATTCTCAGCGATATGACTGTTGTGTGCTGTTAGCCTGAACTGTCGGCTGGGCACAGTCTAGAGTCACCTGGGAAGAGTTTCAGCTGTGGAACTGACTAGATCAGGATGGCCTCTGAACATGTCTCTGGGGACTGTCTTGGCTATTAACCGATATAGGAAAACCCAGCCCATCCAGGGCAGCACGGTTCCCTAGTTTGGCGCCCCAGATTGTATCAGCCTGAAGAAAGCCAGCTAGGTGTACGATACAAGCAAGCAAGAACAAATTCATTTCTCTCTGCTCTTGCCTGAGGATGTGATGTGGCCCAGATGCTTGAGAGCCTGCCTTGACTTCTCCTCAGTGACGGACTGGGACCTAGAAATTTGAGCCTAATGAACCCTTCCCCACCTAAGTTGCTTTTGGCTGTGGACAGAGTTTGGAAGGAGGTGGGAAAGGTCCTGGGGAAGAGTAATCACAATGCATTACATACATCTGTGAAATTGCAAAAGAACAAACTAAATTGATTTTTTTAATGGAAAAGAAAATCAAGAAATCTGCTTTGGGAAGATTGATACCTACAAACACTAGGTAAAAGCAGAAAGTTTAAAGGTCAGGGCCTTATGCTATCTATTGATCATGAAATCCAACTTGATTATCTCTGCTTTACCTGGCTTGGTTGGACCAGTCTAGAATTCAGGGACCTGACAAGCACCCAGCCTGCTGGGAGCATCACTTCTAGAGTACACCATTCTCTCTGTGGTGTCATGTCTGTGGGCTTTCCTCTTAAGGAGAATATCAAGGAAAAAAATCAATCAAAAACAGGATCCCATCCTTT